GATGGGGTACAGTATTTTGGCTATTTTATAGGGATGGCATATTTTAGAATATAATATAATGAATTCCCCAAACATACAGACTAACAATGCTTGAAGTACAGCGGTGCTGAAAGAAAGAAAGAAAGAAAGAAAGAAAGAAAGAACAATCTAATGTCTATCATAGGCAGGATCCTGTACTGAGCTCCTCGTGGGTGGGTTCCAGAACTGGCACACAGCACATTGCAGAAGTGGGGTTTTGTGTGGTAGTGCAATGGCTATGAAGTGGTAAGCTTGCATCTTGCAATCATTTTGGAATATATGGTTTCTGTGCTTAGGGAAGAGGGGGAATGTGGCAAGCACATTGAGGAAGGGAGTTTGAGAATAGAACAGTCTAATGCAAAGGATCTGTTACAAACCTTGTGGATTAATGGGAAAAGGAACCCTTGCTTGGATGCCAGACCTCTTTGTCACAGAATACAAAGTTTAAAAATTGGCTATTATTCATCTTGCTACCTCAATTTTAAAACCAAAGGGACAAATTCTGTTGCATTGAAGGCAATGACAACATTCCCATGCATTGGGATTTGGCCCAAATTGAATTAAAACACTGAAATACCTATGAGTAATATATGTATTCAGCTATGGCAAGGCCTATATTTTGACCTTTCTTAAATACTAATCCTAGGCAGATATAAAATTCAATACCCTGAAAATATACACACTGTGGAAATCAGGATCTAGTCTAAATAATCTGAAATTGATGACAAATTATAACACTAAGCAACTTTCTTCAGTGGCCATAGTAATATATACATGTTGCACAATTTGATAATAATAGATGTAAACCAAGCAAAATCTTTTCAAATTAATGTTTCTAATTCTAATCCTCATGGAACAGTAAAATTTGGAGATTGAGAGGCATTTAGTGTCATTTTAAAATAGATATGAAAATATTTTAAAATGTGTTTAGTATCATATCTAAAAATGAAAAATATCAATCACAAATAGTTTAAACCAGTGGTTCTCAAACTTTTTTGTACCCAGACCCATTTGTAAACATCAATGGCCATTCCTGACCCAGTGCCCCTCACTCCTGACCCACTGACCCCCGCCCCCCAAGTCCCAGCCCCCCAGTGTGTGGGGCATGGGGAACACCAAGCAGCCCCTTGTAGGCTGTAACTCTGCCAGCTTGCAAAGGAAAAGACACAGTTTCCCACATTTTTCTCCTTTAAAGGAGAATCCATTTGTAAAGTGTATTTGCGACCCTTTCATATAATCTTATGACCCACTTTTGGATTACGACCCACGGATTGAGAAATGCTGGTTTAAACTTCCCCGTTTTGTGAATACTGTCAATACATTTTGATAATCACTTCTACACTGCTAAATATGCTAAAACCTTTTGATAAGCTATGATAAGGGTGATTAAAAATCATCTTTAGATTATGGAAAATATTTTAGGTTTTTTTTTTCTTTTTAGGATTCTAGTTCAAAGCATGTTTAATTCAGTTTTGGGCACTTTTTAACCAACAATTTGGCACTTTGAGATTGAAGTTCTTAGGCACAACGTGACAAAGTCAGTTTAGTGAGTCCTTCCCCATGCATTTTGTAGAGCAGCTGGAACTCTGCAGGCAGCTGATGGGACTCCTGCCACTTGGTAGTAAACTTTGTTCCTTTTTTATCATAGTAATGGTACGGGAGGTCTTCCCTTGTGTTGGGATCAAATCCAAATGGCCAAAAACCATACAAATGGATTTCTTCACATATAGCAGAAGCAAGGGTGTACATTAGAATACCTGTGCTCAGTCGTTTGGGTGACAAATGTTTATTTTTCCAATACCTGTGAAATAATAAAGACATGTTGATTCAGGTGCAACTTCTGTATATGACCATTTAATAAGAAAAGAAGAATTGATTGTGAAGAATGCCTGTATCCATAACTGATCATTTGAATAAGATCTAGGTTATTGTTACTAGTGGACATGTCTACATGAGATAGCGTTATGGCAAAAACTGTGCTAGTATGCTAATATTAGTTCACTGCTCATTAACCATCACAAAAAGCATATGATCACACTAATGCTCAGTAGGGCAACCTACTGCACATTTATTTAGTGCTCCTTTTGTAAGTACTGTGCATTAATGAATGTGTAGATGCGTTAATTAAGTCCTACTGTATAGGCTTTAATAAAATAGCATGAATATAGCACACCCTGATATAAGACAATATCTTTGCATTAAGTTACCTTGGACTTCTTTGTCCCTCTCTGCAATGAAGCCAATTAGGACTTATAATTGTTAGTTACCAAAACCCTGATCTTGCAAGTAATCTTATGAAGGCAACTTCCCTGCATCAGTGAAGAAGCCCATTGACCTCTTCTAAGTTTCACATAGTCTCTAGCTACCTATACAAAGACTACTGTGAGATAAGGTCTGAAGGTGAAATTCATCCTTGTGCAGACAGACAACACAAAACTTATGCAGTCTGAGCCTGTTGCTGTACTCTGTATACAATCCCACAAAGAATATTAAGAATGTAAACTTGCCTCAAGTGCAACACTTTTTCTGTAAGAGTCATCTACTTTACATGATCATTTTAGCTATATCTTGGATTATCATTATTTACTGTCCAGGCTTAGGATGGTATAGTGGCTTATTCATTATGGGTGATTCACAGCTTTGCGTGAGACCTGGACAAAAGCTATGGAATCATTTATCTCCCACTTGAACCAAATTAAATGGTACATTGGCCTGGTGATGGTCTTTGAGGGTTAATTTCACCTTAAGTACCAATTGTGTTCCTTGTGGAAGTCAATGCTAAAATTTCAAGTATCTTCAATGCAAATGGGATTGAGTCCTAACTGTTTAGATATTGTGCATCAAATGAACTATAAAAGAAGATCATAAACAAATAGAAAAATAGGACTGTAAAAGACTTCACAAGATCATTTGGTCCAACCTACTGCTCATGGTAGGTTCATTCCTTTCTCAGCCATCTCATCCAAGTGTTTGTCTAATCTGTTCTTAAATTATTCTTCCACTACTCTAGGCAATTGGTTCCAGTGCTTAAACAGCCTCATTGTTAGTTTTATTCATCATAGCCAACCTAGATTCAATGGCCAATTAGTGATACGTGGTTTTATGAGTTAAATGTAAGAAAAATACACACCTGTTGACATGTTGCATTATATTCCCTGGCCAAGCCAACTGGACCTTTAATTGACCTCTGTGCTCAACAAAGAAGTCAACCAATGTTCTTGTGACGGTTGCTGAAGTGTGGAAGAAAAAAGCTGGGATCCAAAGAATGGCCCCATCAAGCTTTTTTAAACTTAGAAAAAAGTTATTGCGATCCTGAATGGTCAAAAGGTTGTTGTAATACTTTTCCAGGATGCTGGGGTTGAAGGTTGTAAGGTTGGTTTTCCTTCCAACATCTCTCTGGAAAGCCTCAGTTGGAGCAAAATTACAACGGAAAACAAAATCAGATTTATCTATTTCTTGTCCACACTGACTCCCTGTAAGGATTCCACTATTTCCAACCACAGCACAAATGTTATAATGCTTATTCAGGATAGGTGAGACATCTGGAAGCAATGATCTGAAGTTATTGCTAATAGAAAAAACATACTTATGGCTGGAATAATCATAATGCATCAGCTGTCCAATCCGAACACTATTCTTGGTCAAAGAAAAATTTTTTATCACATCAACATGCTGAAGAATTTCTCGCCTAAAATAAAATACAGAAACAAAACAGATATTTCATTAAGCTCTGCCCTTGCATACAGCTGAGAGATTTTCTTTCCTGTTATGATTCATTTTGTTTGAAAAAAAAATTGAGTTAAATTAATCCCATTGAGGGTGGTGAGGTAACAGATTTCAAATGGATATGAACCAATGAGCGTTGTGACACCAGATTCTCAGGCAGTGTAAATTTTCATAGCTTTACTGAATTTAATGGGTGATGCTGATTTCCATCAGCTGAGCATGCCAGATCTCTTGGCTTACAACACTGAGATTATAATACTTGTTTCAGTCTTTAAGTTGAAGGCATAAATCTGTAATGGTGTGCTGTTTGCATAGAATGAATTCAATCTCAGGCAGAGGGACAGCATAAAACTACATCCTGTTTATGTCCTACCGTGAGCATGATAGTTAGATTTATGTTGGCTCTAGATTTCATACTGCAGAGCTTTGGTAAGGATGAATAGCTCATGTGCCAAGATGTACTCAAAGCAGTCAAGAATATTCAATTGTATTAACAGTAATGCAGCTGAATTTTTAATACAAGTACTTTTTGTATCCTCATTAAGAAGCTTTAAGTCACAAAGCAAGTGGCATTCAATTGTGTCCTCCTGGATAAATAGCATTATTTTAATGCCTTGCTTAGGCAAGTAAATTGGAGTTTTTAAAAGGGTATTATGAATACTGAAAATGCTCAGGAATTTCTCTTGCAGAGAATAAAAATAGAAAACAAACCATTACTGCCTTATCTGCTCATGTTTATGGAAAACAGCCTCTCTTCCAGCTTGCTAGCCTCAAATGTCTAAGCATTAATGGAATCCCAATGGATGCCCTAATTATGGGCTATTATTGCTGACAGCATAATGCAAAGAGAGATCTTGAGGCAGTAACTAAAATTAAGAAAGAGGTACAGCAAAGGCATGAGTCAGGACTAGACTATGACCTAGAGGCTCAGGTCACAGTAAGGGTTGGTACATATCGACATCACTCCAGGGTCACTGAGCCACAACTTCTTCTCTGCTCCCTGCAGTTATTGGAGCTGTGGTCATGCAATATTAACCCATACTTGCAGAAGATAATTCCCCCAAACCTCCATTTGGCTCAGTTGTATTGACCACTGAGTAGAAAGTGAGTTGAAGGAGTGCAATGGTGGGCACATAGTTAATCTCTTTTCTGTGTTAGTAGCCCAAGCTCTGTGTGAACTACATAGGGATGTAGGGAAGGTTTCTACTCCCCAGATTGGTAGTGAATTCCAAGCCACAACCCAGCCATTAAATGCTGACACACTGTAGGCAACTTTCAGACAAAATATGGATCCATTAATAGCATCGGCCATGACAATAACATCTATTTTTAAGCAGAATTCTTCACTTACTGAAGAAGGGTAGGATTTTTCCTTGTTATATCACAGTTTTAAACTCTAGATGCATATCAGTAGAAATAATTCATAAAAAGACTGGCTTAGTTTTGCCAGCAGTAGTAGCATCACAAGTTAAAGAGCAGTGACAATAATAGAACAGAAACCTAATATTTAGTTCATGTACACGGGGAGCTTTGAGGAAATGAATGGAACCAAGACATAATTCCTCTTGAAATATTGTCAATTTGGGAAAGCTGAGGTGAAAACCATGATGCAAAAAATGAATTTTAATTGACTCCACATTTTGGATATCCTACAACCCTATGGATTAGCTAGTCAGAAAGGAACATGCTTGTCAAGCAGAGTTATCCTGTTGTCTGTGTGACTATTGAAACATGTTGTGCATGTTGATGACGATTGCATGCTGTTATATGTTAGAATTCAGTTGTTTTTTCTGAGATTTTCTTTGGACATTTATCCCGTAGCAATAGCCCTTTAACTAGTCCTCTGATAAACTGGGTCACATTTGAGTTTTTTGGTATACTAGTGCATAGGCCACTTTGTGGATTGTCAGTGAAATAACACATTACCAGAATATAATGTGTTTCCTGTCCTATAAGTTATAACTTTTCTGACGTGGGGAACTGCTCTGACGCAGTCTTTGCTTCTGAGGTTGGGCAAGTTACACCTGGTTTAGCATTTATAATTTCCTGGTTACCTTCTCCCCCCACCCCCTATCAAATGATCTAGCTAATACACCAAGGAAACCGAGCCTAGGCCTTCACAAAGCAAGTGGTAGCATTTTCTTCTCTCTCACCTTTGATGTAAGAATGCCGTTCTGTTAAAAGTCCACCTGGAAGGCTTTTCTTGTAGCTCGTGTGTCAGAGAATTGGTGATTGGCACAAAGGAAGGGTCCAGAAACTTCAGTGCAAACTGGGACCTGCAAAGGAGCGTGTGTACACACACACACACACACACACACACACACACACACATACGCGCGCACACACAAGAATACATATACCCGTTAGCAGGCGGATTCAGGGCTTGAGCCCCCGCTCCCGCTGCCTTGC